TTTTTTATGTAATTTCTTTAATTTATTTTTTTATTATAATTTAATTTAAGTTTAATAATGAAATAATTTATTTTTAGTTTAATAATATAACATTTTATAAAGATAATAATTAAGTATTTTGTTAGAACTCAATGTTTATCCTAATTAAATATTAGATTTTTATATTTAAAATAAGATGTTTATCTTGTATTTGATTATGTTTATCAGCAATTAGTCACACGAATTCAGATATGGAGCTTTAATAAGTTGTACTTACGCATAATCTACTTGTAATCTTGAGTTTTAAGTAATATTCATTAATAAACAATACTTTACGCATAAAAAGTAGATTTTAAGGGTTTTTGTCAAATGCTTTATAATATAGTATAGATTATTTTTTTTATAATTTAATTTAAGTTTAATAATGAAATAATTTATTTTTGATTTAATAATATAACATTTTATAAGGATAATAATTAAGTATTCTGTTAGAACTTAACGATTATCCTAATTATATTTTAGATTTTTTATATTTAAAATGATATGTTTATCTTGTATTTAATTGTGTTTATCTATAATTAGTTACACAAATTCAGATATGGAGCTTTAATAAGTTGTACATGCACACAATTTATTTGTAATCTTGAGTTTTAAGTAATATGCATATTAATAAACAGTACTTTACGCATAAAAAGTGGTTTTTAAGAGTTTTTGTCAAATGATTTATAATATATATATATATATATATATATATATTTTAATTTAAGTTTAATAATAAACAATTTATTTTTTGTTTAATATTATAAATTTTATAAAGATAATAATTAAGTTTTCTATTAGAATTTAATGATTTTACTAATTATATTTTAGATTTTTTATATTTAAAATGAGATGTTTGTCCTGTATTTGATTGTATTTATCTGCAGTTAGTTACACGAATTCAGATATGGGATGAAATCGGATAGAGATGAACGGGTTTAAGAGTTTTAAGAGTTTTAGCCAAATGTTTTATAAGATAGTACAGATAGTTGATTACTTAATAGAGACGAGTACTTAATCAATTGAATAATAGTCCATTAACAATTTAATATTCTATTCTATTTACTCCTACCAATTCAATACTCCAACGATTCTATCTATACTGTAAAAAAAACATCAACAAACTCATGGCTATGACGACATCATAGTTTTTAAACTGTCTTGACATATTTATGTTAGACATAAAACATTGATGGCTGTGGCATCTTAGAGTGTCCTAATATTTGAATTTTTTGACTTTGAAATTGTAATATAATCATATTTTAAACATACGTTCAAACCACTCAAGGAGTTGTCTCGGCTGGCTTCTTCAAATGGTACCCCTAACCGAAGAAGATGATAAGAGGGAGGCTGGTCATGGTCGTAGATTGCTGGAGATGGGAGATGGGAGAAATACGGAAACAAGAGGAACAAAATGGAGGACGTGTGTCGTGTTTTAATAATTTACCATTTAAATAAAAAGCAAGAGAAAAACCTAATAAGAGAGAGAGACCAAGGGATCGTTTCCCAAATGCTTATCCGGATGCATATGACAAAGACCCAAAATCTTACCCGGTAAAAGTGATGATAAGTCAAAGACCTTCCAGCCTAGTGGTAAAGGCTTGGGCATGGCATAGTCATGAACCCGAGTTCGAGCCCTGGGAGGGGAGTGTTGGCGACATTTAAGTGGGGTCATGTTTAGCCTCCAAATTTGCCGGGGATTAGTCGGGCTTTGGCCCGGACACCCTTACCCAAAAAAAAATGATGATAAGGATCGAGAGTCTTACCTGGTAAGTATGAGTGACAACTCTTACCCACTTGCCGGATAAATTTTTACATACGCTGCCCTTTTGATTGACTAGAATCTTATCAATAAGGTAAATGAGAGTGTAGACTCTCACCGGCATGCAGGCCCTTCATCATCATTACTCCTTGCTTCTAAACCCAAGGAAGTTTTGTATCTATATTTAGGGGCTATTTAGCCAAGGCATGGGAATTGAAAATAACAATAAAAATGAAAATGACAAGAAATGCTTGGAATGAAATATTTAGGCTTGTCACTTTCTTATATATTAAATCCCATTAATGGCTTCTTAATACCTCCAACCAAACTCCCCTAGCATATAACACATAAATTCCATCCACCAAGATGGAAAAATTACAAAAATTCTATTCAAAAATTTAATATTAACAAAAGAGCAAGCTATGTTATCTCAAACATTGTAGAATCATAACAATCGTAGAGTATTTGTAACAACTAACCGAATGAAGAAAATCGTGGATCCATGGTCGAAAACCTCCATCGTTCGCATCAATGATTCTTCGACTGAAACACACACAAACAAAAATTCAAGAACTGCATGTACAGGTTCGAATTCAAAAATCATGATACAGAACAGCTTTGAACCTCAAAGTTCCTCGACATTTCCTTCACTTGTTCAGCGATTTCCTGCCTCTTCTTTGCAGCTGCAGAGAGCAATTTTTACGCACAAAAAATGGTTTTGTGATGTATAATGACTAAGGAACATGAATGGCAAGAAAGTGTGTACCCATGCTTGAAATTTCTTCCACTGATTTTGAAGTCTTCACAGCAAATCTTTGAAATGTTCGGCTGAGAAAACACAAAAACGTCACAAATAAGGGATCGTCTATTAATAAACTACTTGATCTCGTATTCAAAAACACATCGTCTAATCCAGATTAGAAAGTAAAAACTAGGATAAATTTGGGTCACATTTGTTATAGAATAAGAACAGAGGCATCTTCACATGTTTTATGAAACCAGTTGTGTACACATGCGTTGCAACAAGATGTAAAATTTTACAAGAGAATGAAAAATTATTGTTAAAGCGAAGTTTGAACATATTTATCAGTTGATTATCAATTTTATGAAGTATTCTACCGTGTTAGTAGCACTCGACTGTTATCCCGTATTTGAAGGCATTCACTTGGTTATCAGATAGGAGTTAGGGGCTGTTTAGTTGTTTTTTCATTAAGTCCTGTAAGGATAAAGTTGTCTAAATCTGTCTGTAAAGGTTGGGAAGGTTTTAGTTTCCAAAGGTTTTTTCATAGATACGAGGGGCATGTTTTTTAATTTAATTGGGTGGGGCACGTTCGGAAAAAACTTGGCTTTCTGCATAAAGTTCCCCCTAAAAGCTTACTGACTAAGCCACTTTTTATATTATTAAGCCACTACCAAACAGTCATGTATAGCTGACTGAATAAGCTGTGAGTCCCATTAAGCTGCTAACAAACAGGCCCTATGTTATAAACTTGAATTTTAAGAGATATTAGGAACTATGAGGTCAATGCTTTATAAGACAGTAAAGACATTCTAAAAGACCAGACTAAAGCATTTGTCAGCTGCTTCAAGTAGTTAGAGTCATTCAATGGGCTGCCTAAGTTTAAGCATCTTTCAGAGCTTTGAATAGCAACTAATTGCTGGATTATGAATTCCGAAAGATAATATGGGAATTAATAGGATTCTCGGCTTGTGTTCATAAATCAACTTCTATCTACTAAGAGGTCATCTTAATAATCCTTTATGCATAATTATATCGATAGAACAATGAAACTAGTCATTTAGAAATGTAATTGTACCAAAATAACGTTGTATCCAATTCCTAATTCTCATATTTACATATAATCTAATAATAATTATATTTATGCAATCAAATGAACCGCTATCAGTTTAAACGTGCACTTAATACCTGCTTAGACAATTTCGTGCTAGAAAGTAATTCGATCACGTGGATCCGTTTATTGCTCTTTAGAACACCGGCAAACACCCAAAAGTTGCATTGCCAATGAAGCAACCAAACAAACTCTTTCATGAGGGACACGGCAAAAAGAGAACTAACATGAATTTTTACTCCTTTGTCCCAAAATAAATGTACATTACGAAAAGGGGCATAGTTTTAGAAATGTGCAACTTATACACTTTTTAATAAATAAATGACAATTTTACTGTTAATTATGGATAGAATTGGAAAGTAGACACTTATTTTGGGACAATCTAAAATAAAAATGTGGAAACTTATTTTATCATGGAGGACGTAGTTCAATTCTCCAAGTTACAATGATGAATAGCTAAATACATGAAAGAATGCCAAAATATCACTAAACAATTTTGCAATGTCCATAACTTAACCAACAAATCAAACCAAGCGCAAGCCAAAAAAACCCAGTATATAAGCTACACGGAGGTAGAGTCTGAAGAAGGTAGGATGTATGAAGACTCTACCATTAAGGATAGAAAGGCTATTCCCTTATCATCTTTAGAACCTTGGTTCGTAACAGTCATGATATTGAAATAACACTTTGTTCCAAGTATCAATAACTAAACGTATTTTTATCCAGCATTAACTTTACATATAGCCATCACTTAAGTTGAAACCAAATAATTGCACAACTAACAAAAAAACCAGACTCATTTACATATACAAGTACTGTAAATTTCTAATCATGCCAACACAAGATTAACAGGAGCTAATCAGCTCAAATATAATACAATTATGAATTATCCACCACACTGACGTATTTCCACGAACATATAATACCCATAAGTTCATGCAGAAAGCAAAGGTAAATTACTTGTAAAAGGTAGGTTAATTCTTAATATACCCAAAAATAATACTGCATGCTTCAGACTCCATAGCAGAGGAACAAACACCAGACTTGTTGGTTTTTACACATCTTTTAATATACAAAAATAAACAGTCCACAGTGTTTGTTTGTCTCCCAATATCAAACAAGCCCAGTATATCCGGATCAAATTTGTTTATCTCCCAATCTAAAACTAATATGTGCACTAAGGATAAGACAGAAATAAACATGCCACCATAACTTCAAGGGTTATCCCCATGGCTAAGGTTTGAGACCTAGGTTTAAGAAGTCCAAATTTTGAATCCCATACTCTCCTCAGGGGAGAAAAGTTTGAAGTTTACCCGGTCTATTGATAACTTCACAATTTGTGTCATTTTTATCATCAAACATGCACAAATACCTTGCTAGTTGTTACTAGTGGGATACATGCTATTTCATCTAGTTTTGACATAAATGTAGATAAACAGGCATTGACATAGAAACAAAAGAAACCAACCAAGCAAAGCTGAATGATGCAAAACATAAGAAATGAACATGAAACACTTGAAGCATAACATTACACTAGGCGAGACCCCGCAATATTACGGCTTTAGAATGTGAACATAACCTTACAAACAACTAGTTAATTGCCCTACAACCTTAGTTGATAACATGAGTGTATCCTTAATACAATGCAAAATAGCAGTAACATTACACATAAGACACCACGCCAGGGATCCACGTATAATGTTACCCCAGATCAATGCAATATTGTTAGAGTTCATTCAGAATAAGCATGGACGGGATTTAATGCAACTAGAATTGAAATTTCATGCTGCATTAGGGCTGTTTCCATATGGCAACTGTAAGGGGCATAGGTTTTCTCTATTTCAGGGTACCACCAACATACACAACTTGACGGTAGCCATCCTCCCCTGTTTGCCAATGTTCTTACACCGCTTTTCTACTTCCACACTCACTGGAGGTTGAAGGCTACAACGGTTTTCAATCCCAATCTCATCCAGGCATTCATGCAAAAATTCAACCCCACGTTCAGCCACCCATCCACCACAAGTGAAAGTTTGAAGATTCTTGAAGATGAATGGGCTACCCAACAATTAGAGCATTAGTTTGTTGTTGGTAAACACCCAACCTCTTATCCAAACATGAACCTCTTATTCGATAAGAGGTGTTAAGAGCTTAGTAAACGACCCCTAAGTCTGGTTAATAAACTTTCGCACCTCCAATGACATGTGACATTATATGTAGATGGCGAAAGGTGTCGGATAGATAATTATTAGAAAAGATAAACGTGTCACCATGCGATCGTACTTAGTTTAACAAAAAGAAATCATCAATTATAACGTTATACATTCTAATCATATTAATTTACCACTTTCATCCAATTTCAATCAAATTATTAACAAAAATATGAATAAGAATGGTGAATGTTAACATATTTCCCATCAAATTGTCCCAAATTGTATGTTAGTATGTTTTGATTGAACTTGCCTAGAACAACATAATTGATATGAGTTTCCAATCACAAGCATGTAAAAACTACCTTTTAATCCAATATTAATCTGCTTAAAAGACGTCTATTTGCAAAAAAATATATATTATATTCTTGCTGCAAACCAAATAATCAACTTTAGCAAATGATCACCCTCTGGAACTATATCAAAAACATTTGATATAGCTCGTGCTTTGAAGAAAACACGAATTACACAAAACAAAATTGAAAACATAACTGACCTACAAAAATATGAGATAAAGAGAGAGAGAGAGAGAGAGAGAGAGAGAGAGATGACCTGTTGGCAAGACTTTCAACGAGAACTTCATTAACAAGGTAAGACACAACACGATGCACAAAATTACCTCCCGCCATGATCTTACACAGTGCGCAGATTCCACAAACTGACGAATTCAAGAAATAACGAAATAAAAATATAAATTAGAGGTAGGTGCTATAATTTCAGGGGAAAACAAAGACCTAGGGTTCATTCAACAAGTTCATAATACACGACAATATACGGACAATAAAAGTTCAGAATCGTTAAAAGAATGGAAAGAGGAAAATCAATCAGATATTTGTTTACCTTGGATCTTCAATTGTGGAGAGAGAACTGGAAACAGATTTGTGGTTTGGAGCTTCAACGAAGACGAAGAGGGCGAGGATTTGACGAGGTGCAGAGGTTGGTGGCAGACTGGCCCACTAACCATTGCGGCCCATGATCCGTTGCGTGAATAACAAGTCGATACGTGGATATTGTTAGGGTGCTCAAAAACCCGATGAATCCGACCAATCCAACCCAAATTTAAAAAAAAAACCTAATCCGAGGTAACCGATGCATGATCGATAAAAAATTAGCCAACCCGACCTTATTGGGTTGGAATCGGGTCAAGCCCAAAAAACCCGACCAAGCCGATAAACCCGACCTTAACTTTAGCTTTGAATTGTAGATGACAATCATGACATGACCAACCTTAACGTCAAGAAAGCGAAAGCATCGGGGTTGGAAACGTCTAAAACTATTGTTGTTGATTGATGTATTATCATTTGATTTAAACATTTTTATTGTAATATCTAAATATTTGATGAACTTGCATATTATCTTGAATGGTCGGTCGTATTTCAAAAGAAAGTTTCTTTTATTTTTATATGATTTTACATTGTTTAAACAATAACTTATTGTTTTGCGAAATCGTATCAAAACTTTTCAACCTCTTTTCATTTTAGGGAATGAAATGTTAAAAAGGGGGTGTTTGAGATTGTTTATTTAAAATAACTTATGATTTTTTGTAAAAGTGCTTATTAATTTATGTGGTATTAAACCGGAGTTAAATAAAAGATGGTTAAAATTGTAAACTGGTAATAAACAGTTTTTCATAAGTCATGAAGGATTAACTTATCAAAAACGGCTTATTATCGGTATAAACAGTTTTTTTTTTCTTATCCAAACACCAGAAAACAGTTTATCATCGGTGTCAGACAAAAATAAGTTAAAAAATAGCTTTTATAAGCAATGCCAAACACCCCCTAAAATCCTTATTTTAGGGTTTTAATCAAATTTTATGTTTATAAGGTATGATTTACTTACATAGTGTTTGTTTTCTAACAGTTGTTAAAGTCTGAAGTCTTATTTCACTTTTGATCAACAAGAGGTGGTGATGAAGTGTGAAATATGAATCAATAAGACTGTTTGTTTTTATAAACTGACAAACGTCTGAAGTCTGAAATCATAATCAATAGTTTGTTTTTGTAAAATCAGGTGCAAACATTTTGCAAAATTCTCTTGATTTTCATAAACTTTTCATTGCCAAAATTCATCTCAACAATTCCTTAACAAATGGAACACAGTAAGAACCTTCTTGATACCTTTCAAACTTCCAATACTATCGAAAAATGTCGCAGGTGAGTTTGTTTACAAAAAGATCGATACTTTCGTTAGAGGATAGATTGCCGATAGAAGTTCTTGTTTCACATTAAATCTTTTATGGAACTATAGAGAGAGAGAGAGAGAGAGAGAGAGAGAGAGAGGGTGGGGGTGCATTTCACATGGGTGATGAAAGGACAATGGTATTCCTGATGCAGAAAGAAGCAATAACCAAAGAAAATCAAAGAAAAAAAGAAGATAAGAAGAATTAAAATATTAGTTTACCTCTTATTTATTCAGACCTGTTAAATGATAAAAGGCTTTAAAAACAAAGAGTCTGAATTATGAAACTACTGAACGAATTATATATAAGTGATAATTAAAAGCTGAAAATAAAAAAAAAAACAATAAAACATTAATGTCATCGTTTAGGCCGGTACCAATTACATGCCATATTACAATTAGAATATATATATATATTAAAGAAGAAACCAAAGGTAATGAGGTGGTACTTTCTAATGCTTAGAACCCCTCCTATCTTTTTTCTCATTTTTTTGATTTTTTAAATGTTGAATATATTAAAGACTTTTTTGCCCCTTGATGAAAAATGTATAGCTCATAATTAACCCAGGTTATTTTTATAATTTTGTATACCCAAGTTTAACCTCCAACTCTTCATTTGCTCTTCCATTTACTTTCTTTTATTTCTTAATGAAATTTGTTTTTTAAAGTTTCAATAATAAACAAAATAAAATCATATAAAATCCTTTGGTGAGGGATGAAGAAGATGAGAGTTGAAGAAGAATTCAAAGATTTTAAAAGGTATGTAAAATTATATTCATTAAAAAAATGTGATTTGTTATTACATGTTTCTTTTTCAATATTGTTGGATGTGTTGTTATCATAGGATATGATTGTGTTTACGATTGGATTATATAAATTGTGTTTACGATTTGATCATATAAATTCGAATAAAATTTTGATATTTTATAATCACAAGATATTATAAACTTTTTTCGAATTTAAGCTTCATTAACAACAACTATTTATTCATCTTCATCTCTCACACCCTCTCAAATTCT